CCCCCAGCCCGCCCCCTCCTTGTCATTTCCCTGCAAAGGTACAGAAAAGCTGTCAAGGGAGACACTAGCCTGTCATCCAGCTTTCCGCCTACACCCCTTTCCAAACCTGACTCCCCCATCAGTCTCCCCCACCACCATCATCACCCTCCCAACACATACACACAAAGAGCAAAACATTTTGTGAAAATAGACTTGTTGTGTAATTTGGGCATTGTATTAACTAACAAGTATACTGGTACAGTAGTTAGGGAAGCTCTAATACAAGTCTATATTTTCCTATCACTAAAAGTCTCAGTGTACTTATTATTTGGATTTGACATTTGCCAACAGTTGCCAAGCCCCCAAACAGCTGTTCAATAAGTAATCACTACCCTCCCTACTCTGCTCCTTTCAGAAGTCTGTTTTGCCAGTTTGCTGCGCACATGGCTTATTAACTTTTATTTCTACTGTTCTCTGAATACTGTTCGGAGGAAACAGAGAGGAAAGACACTCAGACAAAAAAGAAGGCATATTTAAAAGGAAAGGGCTAGAAGGCAGAAGGTATTAATATAATAATTACCCACAAAATCAAATATCAGATAAAGGGGAATGGGGTGAGGAGAGGGAGTGAACAACAGAAATAATAGAGTGACAGTCACTGAACTTGACCTCAGCTAACACTTTCCTCAAGCTTTTTTCACTGGCATCTCCCACAGCTACCCTCCTACAATTATTCAGAACTGTATCCAGTGACAAGGGAATTTACCAGTTGAAGGGAAAACAGCTCAGTTAGTCCTACTGGTAGGGACTTGAATGAGGACTATCTTCCCCAATTCCTTCTCCTTTTCAATACCTATTGACCATCAATTAACAGTCTACTTATTTTGATACCCATTTTTAAAGTATGATCTGTATTCATAAATATGTTCTGTAGTTTCTAATAGTAGGTAAGACATTTTCTAAATTACATGAACAAACGGAATTATTTAAAAAACAGCTCTATTAAGCTATAATTCACACACCATACAATTCACCCATTTAAATTGTTCAGCTCAGTGTTTTGTAGTATACTCATTCACAGAATTGTACAGCAGTTACCATAATCTAATATTAGGACATTTACATCCCCCCTGAAAGAAATCCTATGCCCTTTAGTAGTCAATCTCCATTCTCCCCTTAACTTCCTACCACCACCCCCTGGTAACCACTAATTTACTTTTTGTCCCTATAGATTCTGTTTTCTGGGCATTTCATATAAATAAAATTATACAACATATGGCCTTTTGTAACTGGCTTCTCTGAGTGAGTGTAATATTTTCAAGGGTTATCCATATTGTAGCATAGATCAGTATCTCGTTTGTTTTTATTGTCAAGTATCCATTGTGTGGATACTCCACATTTTAAGCATTCTTCAGTTGATGGACATTTAGATTGTTTCCACTTTTTAGCTCTTATTAGTATTTGTATACAAGTTTTTGAGTGGACATATGTTTTTATTTCTCTTGGGTACCTACATAGGAGTAGAATCGCTGGATCATAGAACAGATGGAATTTAACCAATCTTCCTTTAGTTCAGAGTTTTATGATTTTCTGATGCAAACATCTCATCTTTTTAATCCAGATGTGGATGCCAACAGAGAGCTGCCACTCACACAGCCACCTTCAGCCCACTCATCCATCACCAGTGGAAGCTGCCCAGGAACTCCAGAAATGCGCAGACGGCAGGAGGAGGCTATGCGGAGACTAGCCTCACAGGTACAATAGGATTCTCAGGTTTGGGACATGTTAGTTTCATTTTAACATCAAGGGGGCAAAGGTAGGGAGACCCTAGACAAAGTGAACAAAAATATGTACAGGTATACCATGAGAACATGGAGAAAAGTTTTTTTCTTTGCTGTTCCTAGAATACTTTATTATTATGGAACCAGAAACCTTAGAGTTGGAAAGGAATGGATAGATAAGGAAGTTTATGTTTGGGTTTTAGATTTCTCTGTATTCTTAAAATATATTTTTATTGACTTCAGGGAGAGGTAGGGAGAGGGTAAGAGAGATAGAAACATCAATGATAGGAGAGTCATTGACTGCCTGCGTCCTGCAGGCCCCTCACTGGGGATTGAGCCCGAAACCCTGGGCAGGTGCCCTGACTGGGAATCAAACCGAGACCTGGATCATAGGTCAATGCTCAACAGCTGAGCCATGCCAGCCTGGCTAGATTTCTGTTTTTTATCAAAGTAATGCATACACATAGTTTAGAAAATCAAAAATACTCAAAAACAGAATAAAAACCTACAATTCTCTTCCACCCTTCAACCCACCTCTTTCCAAAGGCAGCCACTTTCTACTCTTAGGGCAGTTTCTCTGATCTTTACCTTCATATTTCTAATTACTATTCATATACTGCTGTAACTTTTTTTAGCAGTTTTACACATTATATATTGCTTCTTATGGATGATTTTAGCTCTTTTATCTTCTTCCCTCCCTCATCTCAGTACAGTTATATAATGATTTTTGTCTGAATCCATGTTACAGTATTTCCAGTATTTATGCAATACAAATATGGTTCACTGTGGAGCTAAGAATAACAGTTTCCCTCTTGAGCAATTTTGTCTTGCCTGGGCTTATGAAATGCCTCATTTTAAAATTTGCTTATTTTTGCCCAGCTGGGCGTGGCTCAGCAGTTGAGCATCAACCTAGGATCCAGGAGATCTCGGTTCAATTCCCGGTCAGGGCATATGCCCGTGTTGTGGGCTCAGTCCCCCGCAGGGGGCATGCAGGAGGCAGCTGATCACTGACTCTCATCATTGATGTTTCTATCTCTCTCCCTCTCCCTTCCTTTCCCTGAAATCAAAGATTTATTTATTTATTAATAAATAAAATAAAATAAAATTTGCTTATTTTTCTTCAGACCTAAGGCTGAGTCACTCTATAACCCTTAGTAGCATTGTAAAATACCTCTCAATACAGTTTTCCACATAAGTTACATTTTTGCCCTGGAGACAGCCTTCCCAGAGCGCTCCATGGAGCTCAGTCTGAACCCATGGTGCTCTCAGGGCTTACCACCTAGTTGTTATCCTTGAAATTCTCATGACCTCGTCCTGTGTTTGATCCCATGTCATCATCTTTCTTGATTTTTATTTCTCATTTTGGTGAAGCACATCTTCCAGTAGTTTCCTAAGAAAGAATGCAGGGAGGTAAGTTTGTTGAAACAATGTTTCTAAAAGCATCTTTGTTTCATTCTCATACTTTATTATTTATTTGACATAGTATATAATTCTAGGTTAAAAATTCTTTTCCCTCAGAATTTTGAAGGCATTATTCCATTGTCTTGAACTTCCAATATTGCCATTAAATAATATGGTGCTCTTCTTATTGCTAATCCTTCATATATACCTCTGTCCACTAAGAGGGCCCAAAAGCTATGACACTTCAATTGCAATGAGCACACCTACTGCTCAGATCTTGTTTTCTAAACATCATTTGTCAATAAAATAAACTTGGGCTCTAGAGAAGTAAATGATGCCAGATCTGGGGCAGGGTGGTAAATATAAGATGAGCCTGGAACATCTTGTGGTTCCAGAAAGCAAGAAACTGCTTTTAAAAAGTTGGGGGCTTCTTGCCCTGGCTGGTGTGGCTCAGTTGATTGGAGCATTGTCCAGTACACTGAGACGTCATGGGTTCAATTCCCAGTCAGGTCACATACCTGATTGCGGGTTTGGTCCCTGGTTGGGCTGTACAAGAGGCAACCAATCAATGTTTCTCTTTCTCACCCTTTCTCTCTCTGAAATCAATTAAGAACACATTTAAAATACATATATATGAGAGCTGACCTGAAGAAAACGCAATTGCAACATTAGAAATTAACTGATATAAATGCCAGTCATTATGTGTAAATTAAATTTTTGTCCAAATAAATTCCAGATGTTCAAAGATGACTTTTCTTGATGGGATATTAGCTTAATCCTATCACAGATTATTTATTTGAAATAGGAAATGGTCTTTGGAGAGTGAAGGCCTTTGACTTTTAACACAAGCCTGACAGGTTTGCTGCCACTCAGTCATTTGATTAGGGCCTTTAATGAGGATTGCACTTAGTTTTATAATTTCTTGTGTACAGTGTTAAGTCAGAAGCTCTTTACGTAAACCCAAGGCTATACTGACCTCCAGTCTTTTCTTTTGTCTATATATCCTACAAACCTCCCCTTGTCTTTCTTCCCTTACAGAAGTAATCTAAAATTCACTCACTGTCTTAAAAAAATTCATGCGATTTTGGTCAGATCTGATATATTTTTGATAGAATTGTTTTAATAAATAATATAATATTGCATACCAACTATACTTTAAAAAAATTTAAAGTTTAGGGATTTAACATAAGAAAAACTTAAGGTGGAAAAGTTAATAATATACAAAAGACATAACTGAAAATGAAATTTCAACAGGTCATTGTGAGAAACAAAAATTCACCAAGGAGAAAGGATTTACCTACTTGCTTTATTGAGGGTGAACTAATTCCGAACCATTTCCAGTAAGTTGGAATAATAGTCACCGAGTATGGGTGGCCATGGTGACTTCCTCAAAGCTGTAGGGAGTTACCTTACATCCATCACTGAACACTGATACAATGACAGACTGAAGAAAAGAACTACATTCCCAGATTTGTTTCCTATTTGTATACGTAAGGAAAGTTGTAGATAATGTTAATAGATAATTTGCAGGAAGTACTAAATGTTTTTGACAGATTGTATGTACCTATACATACTACGTAACTGTTTTGAAATGTCTAGTAAATAACCTAATTTGAAACAGTGCAAATTTTATGAAGATGTTGAATTACCTTTCTGCCTGAATTCTGCAAAAGAATCAAGACTTTATATTTGGAATGCCAAAGAAATATTTAAAATTAAAAGAGAGGTAGACATAGAAGGGGCACCTTTAGCAATGTTATTTAACCTTTGTTTGATAAAACCTCATTCAGCTAAGAGTGCAGATGGTTTTTAATTATAGCAGGAAAAGAACCCGCTTCCTAAATTTCAGAATTTTTATCTTCAAATTTATCCCATTACTTTAGGTAAAGGGTAAGTTAACAGCTGATTTGCTCAGCTGTGTTTTGCCTTGAGCTGTAGAGTCAATTGAAGTAAAATATGGTGAGTGTTCATATTGATTCAGAGGTTTGCTGTTTGCTTTTTATAAAGTGGAGATTTGTATCCATTTGGACATAACCACTGACATTCATGGTTCATTGAGAGGACAAATTAATTGCTGCCAAGTTTTCTCTTTGGGTTCCTTACTTCAGCAATGACCAATCTACCTGAAGAAAAGAGTAGAGGTTTTTTTAGTATAATTTCTCATTTCCAATTCCATATTGTGATCAGGTATCATTGCTTCACTCACAAGCAATTCCTATCAGCAGTTTTGTATGTGTGGTAACATTTTATGTATTGTTCAATTTTTTTTATGCTTAATGAGAGGTATTTCAGGTATTAAGGTGACATTTCCAGCATTTGTTAAAGAGCTAGGATGACCATACCTACAGATTAGGAGTGTGTTCAAAGCAGGACACTTTAATGGATGATTCTTGTTCTGTGAGAGATGGTTGAAGAGCTAGAGTCCCAATAATGTATCTGTGAGTGCTCTTGGGACAAATTTCAAATGCCTATAGGCACAAAACCAGTGGCTGAAAAAGAGACTATATAGAACCTTGATGATGACAGTGATGGTGATGGAGAGAAGGAGGAAGGTGATGATGATGGAGGCAGCTGTGCACATACTATGTGCTGAACGCCATGCCACGCGCCTTCCACACACTCAAGCTGCATTTCCCCTGCCAACTTCATGTTATCTACACAATCTTATTACTTTTGTAACAGAATAATCTGGATTAAAACCACCCTCTGCACTTGCCCTTGAGGCAAAGAATAAGCTCTGCAAATTCAAACAAAAAAATCCAGTCCTTAAAACTCCAGGTTCCAGCCAGACAGCCCAGACCCTAGGCGATATTAAGACTCATACATTTCCTAAGTTCTTTGAATTTAAGACCTTCATCTAACAAAAATCTCACTCCTTTCCTTTTTCCTGTTAACTCATTTTGATTCTCTTGTCTCGAAGTGCTCAGAAAATATTTAATGATAATTCTTAAATCTGAATTATTTTATTTTTATAAGGCTGTTTATGGCATAACTGTAATTTTAAAAATGATGACTTATAAACAAATATGTTTGATAAGACTAACATATGCTTTTTCTCTGAATATCTTATTTTTAATACTTTGTTATAAAATCAGAATTTTTCCTATACTGCTTCATGCTGAATAAATTTTAGAGAGATTAATGTAAATATTTATTCTCAGGCTTGCTTCCTATTTCTTATAATCCAGAGGGAAAACTCATTTGTATTTATAAGTACTAATTGATAGATAATTATGATATCATATGTACATAGTAAAAGTATGTTATCAAATTTCTGATCTTAGATAAATCAGACAGTTTCTGAGTTAGCAACTTTTATTCTTACTTGAAAAAGTTGAGGAATGGAGAGACAGAAGACCATGTTCGAGAATATAATAACTCTGGATATTGCTCTTGTGACTGATAAACCTGTCTGCATTCTCATCTTTCTTTTGTAGGTGGTTGCCTATCACTATTGCCAAGCAGATAATGCCTACACCTGCCTGGTGCCAGAATTTGTTCACAATGTTGCTGCCCTGCTCTGCCGCTCCCCTCAGCTGGCGGCCTATAGGGAGCAGCTTCTTCGGGAGCCTCACCTACAGAGCATGCTGAGCCTTCGTTCCTGTGTTCAAGACCCCATGGCCTCTTTCCGGAGGGGAGTCCTGGAGCCCCTGGAGAATCTCCACAAAGGTACAGATGAAGTGCAAAGAAGGTGAAAGGTGGAAGCTTTGGAGCCCAAGTTCACCTGCAGCATGTTATAGAAATGACTTTTTTATCACATTGCCAAAACCAAATTTCCCATAGCTGATGTCCTACAGGATACAGTTAACAGATAAAAGATTTTACTTCAAAAATAAAAATTCCTATAGGAAGTGCTACTTTATAAAAATTCTGATTATATCATTTCTAAATATGACGCAGTTTTCTTGTACTAAAGATAGTAGAGCTTCTAGTCCTTTCTGTGAAGTTCAAATTAATCAGTAATGTCATGGCTCCAACTCAGTGTTGTGGGGTTTGCACTGTTAGAAACCTCCAGCCTTTATGCTTGCTGCTTTTTATTACTCTCCAGTTCAGGTAAAAGGAAATAGCATCCATGTTTACACAACTCATTGTATATACTAAAAATCACTTAATTGTCCACTAAAGGGTATAAAGGTATGTTTTTAAGTGGGAGGAAAAATGAAATGGGACCCTTCCCCTTCTCATCCTCTTTTCCTTGGCATCTCTGGTGTCCTCTATGGCCTAGGGGCAACCGCTGCCTCCTTGATCCATTTCTGCCCCATCCCCTTAACAATGTTTTGTCAATTCTGGAAGGCAAAGAAAAAGATTTGAGTAAGCATGAGATTCCTGAGCAATTCTGTTTATTCCTGGGAGACTTATTTACCTTTCCCGAGGCTTTTGGAGATACTCAGAAGAAAGAACAAGTGACTATAATTTCCATTCTCTTGGTTGCCATCTTCAGTTATTTCAGCCTTCATGCTGGTTGCTCAAATACTAAAGTTTCTCTTCTCAACTCTGATTATCTGTCTGTATCTCTACTACCTATTAGCTTTACCATACCCTAGACTTTTTTAAATCTTGAAATTTCTTCACAAATATGTTTAAGTATTTTCTGTACATTGAAGTTTCTCAGCTACCAATGTGAAATGAAAGGTCATACTAATTTGTTATTACCACAAAAGGAAGATAATTCACATGTAATGTGCAGCTTTTCTGAACAAAAATGTTGTCTGATATGAGCCACCTTTTCACTTTTGATAATTTCTGTGCAATATACCAATAATAAAATCTCGTGAACTGGGATTCAGTTCTGACTTTGGTACTTGCTACCATCTCTTCTCATGCTGTTTCTATAATTCTTACTTCTCTCAGGTACCTAAGTAGAGTCTTACGATGGGACTGGTAAGGAAGACAGTTCAAGTATTTGTTGTATACATGTAAGAGGGCAGTGGGGAATCGCTGGCACATACACACACAAGGGATTAAAAACAAGGATTAAAGCATTTAGGAAACCTTTACAAAGACTTATCAGCTAGAACAGTGGCTCCTAAGAGCCAGTCCATTTAAGGTTTTCATTAGTCCATGGCAAAATAAGGAAATAGAAATAGCCTACTTGAAACCTGATTCATTTTATGGACCAATGTCACCCCAATAGATTCAATTTTTTAAAATCCTGTAAATATAGATGTAGCTTTTCATATGCATGTATGTGATGTTTAGATAGGTTATGTCTCTCCTACTTCTTTAATATTAAAATATTTTTTATTCTATGAAATAATGGTGATAGTAGATAGTAGTTGTACTTCAAATATTCTTACATTTAATATGTAAGCAATTTTTTTTAATTTGTCTGTAAACTCTTCTAATAACCCACAAAGGTTTGAAAATGAACGTATAGGACCATTCTTATAAAGCGGATTGCATTTGAAAGGCACAGTGTAAAGATCCTCGGAGTCTTACCTTTTAAGTTGACTATTGAAAGACTTCATCATCTAGCAAAGAAAAATGAAATTTAGGAATAGTTCTCAGTGTTTTGCACCATTAGTACCATTTAGAAATTCTTTGCCTTTATTCATCTGAATCCTAAAAAATGTATTTTTAGATAAACATGCCATACTTATTTTTTTAACAGATGAAGTATTTTTGACACCTCATAGCACCTGTATTAATAAGTGACTTCTGAGTATCTCAAAAAAAGAAAAAAGCCAAGATTTAGAACAATATAATTATCTTAAGTGGGGCCCTTATTTATTTATTTTTTAAATGATATATTATCTACTTTACCCCTGGGATGAGTAATACAATCTACTGGGAATTTATGCAAATAAAAATTTAATTTAATCTTACTAGCCACCGAGTTGTTTTGTTCATTAAAACATCTAGGTCACAATTTAGAGCATGTTCTTGATCTTTGTGTTTGAGAATATGTTTGAAATGTTTTCCCAAAGAAAATCTCAACAGGTGCATTATTGTCAGCCCTTTTCTCACTTGAAAATCATGGCTTTCTTATGAAGGAGCCTGGGTGAAGTTAAAGGAAGTATAATTGAAGTGGTAGAGACAGTGGTGTGGTGGTAAATTTTTAACAACCAGCTGCAGGAGGAGGGTTTATAACATTTGTCAGTTTCCATTGTGTAAATAAATATTCCCACCTTGCCAGTTTTAGGCTACCAGCTCTTAAAAGTATTGCAGTGGGTCTCCTGAACCAGTCAGGATGGCTCCCATCCACCACTGGGTGGGGGCCAGGTGATGGTGGTCAGAAACAAGAAATAGGTCTAGTATATCTGCCCAGCAGAATGCAAGGAGAAAATTCCTCTGTGGAAATTAAAGACACAGTTACACTTAAGAGCTCCAGGGTCCTCAAAATCAAGAACATAAGAGCCCCCAGTTGTGCTGGTAAATCCCAATTAGTGCCAAGCAACTCCTTTCTCTGCCTTAATTCTTTGGACTCATGAAAGGAATAATGTGCTTTCTCAGCACTCCCTCATACAGAATGCTGTTTCATACAGAATGCTGTCTCACATAGAATGCTGTCTCATATAGGGTAATCACTGTTAATAGTGAGAGCTGGAATCTTAGTTCATGTCTCTTCCTAAAAAGTTACCAGGTGATAACCAGGCAAAAACTCTTTATAACTTGAAAACTGCCTTACAGAGCTTAGGATATTGAAATTAAATTCCTTTATGTAAAGCTTATACTTTAGGGGGGAAATATAAAGTCGTATTAATCATGCAAAATGTAAAACCAAAATATGTAGACTTTCAGTTGGTCTTGACTCTTTAAAGGCTAACAGAGACACTCTTGTACACAAGTTCATAGAGCTTTCCTTTTATCCCCAGCTTCATCTCTTTCCTCCTCAGATAGAACCTATTTCCCACTTCAGGCATACAATGACTTCTCCCTTCCCCCTGCCTTCGTCCCTTTGGAATCTGTAAGGTCCTGCTAGCTGGTAACGTTTACTTACTACTCAACTCATTTGTGCTAAAATGTTCCTTCAACCTGGGGATTTTTTAATCTCTTAATTGTTCAATGTAGTTTAAAAATCAGTAAGCATTTAATGAGAGTAGAAGTCTGCAATCTTGCCAAACCTTCTACAGCCTAGCCCTAAAGATAAACTGATTTTGTTAATTTAGGATAGAATAGAGTTTAGGAAGGAACTGGACACAAACATGGCAGACTTCATGTGACTTCTCCTCCCCTGGGAAGATGATGCAAGGGTCTAGTCCCACTAAAGCTGTTTTAGGGATAGTCTAGGAACTACTAGTTCTGTAAGAGCTTGTGATCCAACCTGCCTAGTTAAAATCTGTCTCTTGGTTGGGATTCCTTTTCTTTGTTCCCCCATCCCTTCACACTGCGCATTCATATTTAGTCCTGCATACTGCTTTGGACTTGAAATTAAACCTTTTTTTTTTAATTCCCAAAGGAACATGTGATTCTGTTCTCTTTAATGAAACCATCAGAAAAAATATCAACACATTCTTTTCAGCTTTTTCAAGTATAAGAGAAAAATGAATTACCATGTGCAGATTCTCATAAATGCAATGCTCAGGCTGTCTCACATCTGATAACATGGGGGAAATTATAATGATGATACATACATTTTAGACATATGTGACAAAAGCTTTCACACTTGATGAAAACAAAATGAATTCACTAAATGAATTATTCTATGTCTTTATAATAAATTATGTACCCTGAGTACTTAGTAAACAAATGAAGGACCCTTTCTAATATTTTTTTTCCAAACAGATAAGTAATTAAAGACCCAAAAAGAACTCACTTATCCACTTGGTAATTATTAAGTAATTTGTTTCTTTCTGCCTCAGAGAGAAAAATTCCAGATGAAGATTTCATCATCTTAATTGATGGATTAAATGAAGCAGAATTTCACAAACCGGATTATGGGGATACAATTGTATCATTTCTGAGTAAAATGATTGGAAAATTTCCTTCCTGGCTCAAACTAATTGTAACAGTTAGGACCAGTTTACAGGTATGTGTTTGCTTTTGGAACATAAATTATTTCCCTTAGAGAGTACTTAAACTGAAAAAGTTCTAGGTCCTTGTTCCTTTAGTGATGAGTTTTACTAAACCTCTACCATGTCCTAGAGCTGTAGCAAGAATAATTCCCCAAGCGTGTATTTTGAGAGTAAGAGATTTGATCTAGAGAGAGCATTCTCTGTATATGACTCTCTTAGCTCAGATTCCCATTCCTATTGCTCTGGATAAGTTTTGATAAAATGTCCTTCAAAATAGCAAGAAAAGAAAGTGTCCATTTTTCTAGACATTGTCCTGAGGACAAACAGTAATGCAAATAGAGTTCCCAACTCTAATTTACTGTTTGACTTTTGTTTTATATTTTTAATCATTTGATGCCATACTAAAGTTGGTCCAATCTACAGTCTAGAGTCAGATTTTCTAGTTCCTCCTCTGCTGCTACTTGAACAACTTTCCTGTAGCATGATAGTGGACTTCTGTGTGCCTTCCTCTAAGAAATATTGACAGTGTTAAGGTTTGAGATTAAATTTACTACAACTAGGAGATAAGATTTCTTTTTAATTACCTCCCCTGCTCACTCACTGATCACTTAATGGCCCAGACGAAGGACTAGGAATGTGGAAACTGAGCCTATAAAGACATACAGTCTAAGGATAACTGACCCCACCTTCGCTGCCATTCTCACTGTAGCTGAGTTGGTATTTCCCATTCTTTACATATCCACACTTGGTTTGGAACATGATTTCTCAACCTTTTTTCCCCTAACAAGCTATCTTTTTGATGAACATTAAAATATTTAAATGAACATTAAAATCTCATATATTATATACCTATCCCACTATAGCAGGTCCTCGAGTAATGTCATTTCATTCAGTATTGTTTTGCTATAACACTGATGAGATGCCATGGGAATTTAATTCTTGTTTGTATCAATTAGCCTGTGGTAAAATTGGTTTTGTTATATATTGTTTCACTTAAAGTGGCAGAACCTATTGACAAAGTTAAGTGAGGACTTACCGTATTTTGATGCAACCCCCTCATAACAATTGCTAATGTACAGAAAGTAATCTTAGCTTCCCTCCTTTTCCCCCTCCCAGGCACTTAGTATCATTCCTATATACTAACCAATTAGCTTTACTGCCCTCTTTGATCAAAAACTATACTTATAATCCTTGCTACCACCTTGCAGATGTTTGTTATTAATCTCAAAGTCATTTGAAGGGTGTGGATGAATCAACATCCACAAAAATGATGTAACCTACCATCGTCAGTCAGTAGCTTGATTGTTAAAGATGAAGGGTGAATAAAAGAAACTTCCAGGCACATAGTCTCTGCCTGATTTTACTAAATGTATGCTTAAAAGATGTTAGCCTCATTTATATTTTTACATAATGCCATGTGTAATCTCAAAAAACATTTTAAGTATGACTTGGTAGAGCAGATGACTTTAATCTTTCAGCTATGCCAAAGAGCAGGAAAAGTATTATACATATTAATCTACAAAGTCTAAATTTCAGGGTCTTAATAGACTTTCCAGATACTTCATTCACTTTAAGCAAGAATTTTTAAAAATTATTTTCTTTCAGCTCTGACAGTGAAATAATTTATAGGTGTTAAAAAATGAGTCCTCATATTGATCATTCATTCTTTCCACAAACATTTCTTAAGTTCTTCAGATGTGTCAGGCACTTTTTTGTAGCTAAGGATACAGCAATGAACAAGACAATTTTCCTGCCCTTTATGAAGATAAAGCTTATATTCTAGTGAGGAACACAAACAATAAATAAGTAAAAAATTAAACATACATATATTAAAGTTATAGGTAGTGTTAGTGCTGTGAAGACAGATAAAATAGGTTGAAGGGATAAATGGGGCAATAGTTATTTTAGATAGGGAGGATGGGAACGACCTTGCCAAGGATCCTTGTAAAGTGAGGAGACCTGACTTATCTTTTTAAAAGATTTTTTTGGGTGCTGGCTGTGTAGATAATAGGGGATCAAGAATGGAAGCAGAAATACAGGTGAAAGGTGATGGCCGAGACACTGTGAAGTGGTCATATTTGAATAAAGTCTTAAAGGAGAATGGGAAGGACTTGATGATGTGAGCAAGAGAGAGAAGGACTTGATGATGTGAGCAAGAGAGAGAAGATTCAAGGTGAATCATGGGGTTTCAGTGAGCAACTGGGTAAATGCTGGAAAGCAGAAAGATCACAGATTCCTCCTACGGTTTTTGCGTAGGGTTGGTGGTAATACCACTTATTGACATGGGAAGGTTTTGTGGAGGAGGGAAAAATTCAGCAGTTCTGGAAAATTCAGCAGTTCAGTTTGGTCACATTAGGTTTGTCTATGAAGCATCCAAATATAAATGTTTAGTAGACAGAGATAAAAGATGAGAGCTCAGGGGAGATGACTAAGCTGGAAACAAAGTTAGGCATTATCTGCATAGATATGATATTTAGAACTACAGAACCAAATTAACCGTTCTAGGGAAGGAGTGGCTAGATAAAAGAATGAAGACCTGAGCCTGGGTGGACTGAGAAATGAAAGAGCAGCCAGCAAAAAAGCCTGGGTGGGAGTAGACAGTGTGCTAAGAGGAAAACTAGGGGAGCATGCTGTGGTAGCAAGCTGCAGAAGTGACTCAAGGAGAAAGGTGTGATCCCCTGGTAAAATACTGCTGCTGAGAGGCTGAGAAAGATGAGAACTACAACTTGATTATTGGGTTTGGCAAGGTGACGATTATTGATAACCTTTACAAAACCATTTCAGTGAAGTGATGGTGCTGAAACCTGATTGCAACAAATGGAGGAAAGAATGGGAAGGGAAGAATTAGGTACAGTACATAGAGAAAACTTTTATGTGAAATTTTACTAAAAAATGGGAGCAGAGGTATAGGACTGTTGCTGGAGGGAGGAATTATAGGGTCATTTGTGTGATCCAGTAGAGGAGAAGAAATTGATGGCAGGGAAGAGAGTGGATACTCACAGAAGCAAAGTGTGTCAGCAGATGAGAAAAGATGGAGTCCAGAGCATAAGAGTCACCACAAATCCCTGTCAACATAATGTCCAAGCTGATCACCAAGGTACCAAGCTTTCCACTATTAGAAGTATTCCTTTGGGCTAAGGCATCTTCAAAAGGTCTACATTAAAATGCATCATTTTATTCTGAGGGTTAGAAAGCCACATTTTTATATGGCATTCTTTGAGTCCTTGTGCATTTCTCTTTGACATTATACCATGGTTTACACTGAGAAAAATTACCAAAAAAATTATATGGCACTCAGTTTTTCTATTTACTTAGGGATGTCACTTAGAATATTGACCATCCCTAAAGAATCCTTTATGAAGAACCATAAAAAATTATCTTAAGTCTCAATATTAGGAAGAGTATTCCTCCTGTGCAGCTAATTTGTTTTAATCTTTGCATATTAATACTTAATTATGTTTTCTTTAGCCACTCAGAAGGTCAGAATAAATTTTTGGACCCCATAGTTTATCATAAGAGTTAGGGGAAACTGAAGGTCTTTCTGTCTATCTCTCTCTCTCCATCTGTTTTAGGAAATTACCAAGCTGCTGCCTTTCCATAGGATTTTTTTGGATCGACTAGAAGAGAATGAAGCCATAGACCAGGACCTGCAGGCTTACATCCTGCACCGGATACACAGCAGCTCAGAGATCCAGAATAACATTTCACTTAATGGCAAAATGGACAATACTACATTTGGCAAACTCAGTTCTCATCTCAAGACCCTCAGTCAAGGGTCCTATCTATACCTGAAACTCACATTTGACCTCATAGAGAAAGGCTATCTAGTATTAAAGAGCTCTAGCTACAAAGTAGTTCCTGTTTCACTCTCTGAGGTTTATTTGCTCCAGTGCAATATGAAGTTCCCAACCCAGTCTTCCTTTGACCGGGTGATGCCTCTCCTGAATGTGGCAGTGGCCTCTCTCCACCCACTGACTGATGAACATATCTTCCAGGCCATCAATGCTGGTAGCATTGAAGGCACTCTAGAATGGGAGGACTTTCAGCAGAGAATGGAGAACCTCTCCATGTTTCTAATCAAGCGCAGAGACATGACTCGTATGTTTGTACATCCTTCTTTTCGAGAATGGCTTATCTGGAGAGAAGAAGGAGAGAAAACCAAATTTCTCTGTGATCCCAGGTAAGCCATAGATTTGTAATAAGCAATTCTGAGCCTATTTTGTATTTACTGCATGGAGCCATGGGTATTGAAAGCAATGAGAAGTGTTCTCCATTGAACATTTCACATAAAGGAAATATCTCTGCTTCTTCTCAAGACAAGACTATAGTGAGATTAACTAATTTATTTCCTCACAGTGTTATTTCTTTGTGATTCAAAATCTGCATAGATATGTAGAATGCTCTCATACATTCCTGTATTTTCCTAAATAATTTTCTCTGGTCATACTGGTGATCCCAGGCTGTAATTAATTTAGCCATTTAACAGACTTCCGCAGTGTTCTTCAGATGTGAAGAAAGAATTGATATATTATTTACCTCTTTGACTTAGAACAGAATCATTTTAAAATTGCGGTTGCCCTTTTAAAAGCCATACCATTGTTAAAATCACCAATGACTAACCCCATTAAAGCCCAGCCAGTGCTGAGAGTTACATTGGAAAATGGAATCTTAAATCTCATAGCTGAAAAAGACTGGTGACCAACTGAAGAGGTCATTTGGTCTAGCCACTTTACCTTTAGATAAATAAGGTGTCATTATTCCCATTTTACTATAAAGGCCTTAAGGTTCTGAATCACTTGCCCAACATCATCAAGGTACTAGGTGGGAGAAAGGAGGAGAGACTAGAAGAGGGATGGCAAATATATGGTATGTACCACCACTCCCCTGTCCTTCGTCCATGGCAGACAGCACTGCTTTACCCCAGCACTCTCTCCTGGTGAGCTTTACCCTGACTTAAGAATCTTTCTTGGCTCAACAAACCAGACTAAATATGAAACTGTTTCCCATTCTCTTGAGTAGAATCTAGATCTCTAGCATTCTAGGGGTGTATTCTTTCTACTCTACCACATTTCCTTTTTAAATGAATTATTCCTTTAATAAAGTTGGTGTTTACAAAAGCAGGTCTGTTCCTGATTTCCTGGAAACAAGACACCAGCAACATAGGTGGCAAATGCAGAGCTTATTCTGGCTCAAAAAGAAGATAGGCCAAATTTGACTGCTCCTCGCACTGTGACTCATCAGAGAGACTAAACCTCTCTGACCGTGCTGAGGTTTTATTACTCTCCTGGCATGTTCTTCACCCATCCTTATTAGAGACAACTGTGCTTGTGGGCATGCTGCTCAGCCTACTTCAGGCTGATTCATTAGAAAATTAGTTCCAGATTCTGATGACTATATCAAGCCAGGAGGAAGACTTCCTGGTATTTTCCCTCAGAGGGAAACTTAAACTAGTGGAAAGAACATGAACTTTTGAGTCTGATTACCTGCATAGAAATCTACTTCTTCTAGGAACTGTGACCTTTGGAAAGTTACATGTTTCTGAGACAGTTTTCTTATCTACATAAAAGGGATAATTCCTAAAGTTGTTGAGAATCAAATGAGGTCATGGAATAAGTATAATGCTTAGAATAGTACATAGTACATACAGAATATTTAGGAAATGTTTTTTTTCCTTCCCTCTCTTTGCAGTGGTGAACCCTGAGGTTCACCTTAACTCAGTCCTGTGGCTAATTGGATAGGTGGCAACAGTCTTCTGCTATTAGCATTTTGGGGCACAAGATTTAAACAAACAAGCAAAACCTGAATTTGAGTCCCTTCTGTGAATTGTATGTCATTCCCAAGAGGATTTTATGATAAACCCCACTAGTACTGCTACCGATGCTTAACACACAGAATTGCCAACCACATATTTAAGAAAAAGGGACCAATATAGAATTGCCAATAAACATTTTGAGATCAGTTTCCAGAGAAACTTTGCTAGCTGATCTGTTCTTTCATCCTGAAACATCTCAGAGGATCGAAAGCCAAGGTTCATGGTAGCTGGATTACCACTGAATTAACAGTATCCTTACAACAAATGAAACCCTCAGGGGCTCCCAAAGGAGAAAATGTGGTATTTATGAGCTATATCATGGCTTTACAGTCTTACCTTCTCAACATTGTCTATTAACTAGGAGCATTTCAGCAACAGGCTGATACACCAAGACAAGAAGAGCAAACACTTGTAACTTCAAACACTGTGTACAGGCACACCTCAGAGATATTGCAGGTTCAGTTACAGACCACCACAGTAAAATAAGTCATAGTCTTTCTGTTTGTGGAGGGTCTTGCCTTCAATTTGTTAAAAAATGCAGCATCAGTGGAGCTCAATAGCATGAATCACAATAAAACGAGGTGTACCTGTAGTCTGTTCTGGTGATTGAATAACACTCAGGGCTGCCGAGGGATCATCATATATCACTTAATGGCAGAGAATAAAATAGTGGGACCAAGAGTTATCATAAAAGCTTCCTTACATTTCATTTCAGTTGGAATTCAGTCTTCTACCCAGCACTGTCTGGCACCAGCTTTGTTACTAAAGTATTGATCTCAGAGCTTGAGGCCCCCTGGGTCAATGAGATGGAAATTCACTAAAAATTTAATGCTATTGGCAAAGCCCAAGGTGGCCTTTCAAAGAAACTGGCTGTAATTGCTTTCCATTTCAGGCGAGTCTGATTAGTAGGGCTCTCTCCAAGCAAGATTTGTCTTTGTGGCCTTCAGCCTCTACTTCCTGTACATCTTTTTCCCTTTTGTTCTCTACTTTCTCTCCAGTTTCTCTGTAGAGCATCTAATGTATCTCGGAAGACCAGGGGAGACCAACTCAGTGCCTCTGAAATCACACTAGGTAGGCCAGTGCCTAATGTACATATTTCTTTGTAAGGAGAGCTTTCAGAAGCAAGGGAACATCTCTGTCTCTTCCAGTCCATTTTCCTGGACTTTCAACACTTACTTATTCACCCTGAATTTGTTGACCTTATTAGGGCATTAGACACAGATGAGAATATTCTACTGAAGCCAATAGTTGATCTTCATCAGAAATAGGCCACCCAGGGATATATTTCTGCTATGCTGAAGTCAGTAATCTGAGGATGGTGCTGGAAAGAGGAAATAGCAGAGCCAGAGGTCAGTGCTGCAGTTGAGACAGAGTTTTCTTCATTTTAAGTACCAGACTTCCTATTGTCCCAGAATCAGGGCAGAGAATTGACACCCCAGAGAGAATGAGCTAATGTTGAATAGACATATAACTGTCACAGAGAGATAAGTTATAGATGTATTTTCTTGGCTTGTCTTTGTATGTGTGTGCGTTTATCAAACTGGACACAAAGTATCACTCAAAAAACTTGTATTACATCAAAACTTGTAAGATTTGAGATTTGCATTCCACATAAAAGTATGTCCCTTAAAGCCCCCACAAACCTGAGACCTAACCATATTATTCTGCTTTTTTATTTCCCGCTATTCATTTCTGTCATACTCTGAAATTAATCTGTCCTATAATTTTATTCCCTCAGGCACTGAGATATCAGATTAACTCACTAATCTAATAAACTAATCTCTGCTGTTATGCTAATAAGAGGGAGGTAGAAACCCCATTTGAAGCAACTTATGCATTTTAAGTAAGTCTTTTGAGAGAAGTCACCAGCCTGTTACCTAACCTATTAATGACTTTGCTAGTTGAAATTTCAGACTGATAGAGTAGATAACTGGGGACCTCCAGCCTAGTGGTACTGTCTAGTTTTTAAAGCCTTGTGATGCTGCTTAATATTTCTCTATAGCTTTAGACCATCCCTGAATGAATTCCCACTCTATTTTTGTTTCCTTTCCTCACCATCTCTATTTCTTTAGTATTTAGTTTCTCCTTCCCTAGGAACAGCTTGCAGATCAACATATGTATAAATGGGAATATATGTAAGATTTTAATACAGAAATTAGAAGACTCAGCTGCCTTATTTTTAACTGTTTGAATAAAACACAAAGCTTGTTGTGAGCTTTTTGTAATGAGTGCTGAGCTGATACAACGTGAGATTGTTATTTGGATGCCTAATTGATGTTGTCCTTATTTCCTCAAACTAAGAGAAGCAAATGTTATGGTGAGTGAAAAAGGGGAAAGGCTACAAAAATCCTATTTATACATATGAGGATAGTTGAGTACTAACTTGATTCTTTGTGAACAGAGTTGATACAATAAACGGTCTATTGAGATTTTTTTCTAATTATTTTGGCCATGTTCGTGAATTACCCATTGGAGACCTGATGCTCCAAATCCATGCCACAAAGCAGAGTGTCAGAGAAGAGTTTGTCTTCCTATGAAGGAAAACTCCCTCTCTGCCAGGGACCTGTACAGCCTGGCTCCTTGTAGAATACGTGGATCTGAAATGACCACACAATGGTGAATTGCAAGGTTGTGGTGATTTTGTTTGTTTGGTTTTTTTTAATCCAAACATGAGCCTCCAGGACGGACGACATTTAACCTTACCCATTGAAGCCACAAGCCCTCAAGTTGGGAGATGGGTTCTGGTTTCTAAAAGCATTAGGAAAGAATACAGCAAATGGATGGATCATGGGAAGAAAAATAGGGCTCCTGAAACTAAATCAGCCTTTAGGAGGTTTGGAAGAGTTAAAGCAAAGAGAAGGGAGGTATAGCAAACATCTTTTACTAGCACTTGACCACTAGTAGATGATCTTAACCTGCCTGAAAATATTAACGGTCTAATCTATGCTCAAGGTTTAGATCTGCTTCACTTCTAATTCTTTTCTACCGCTAAGGGGAAATCATTCTTCTGATGTCATGATTTGGATGTGTGATTTCCAGCAGAGATTTCATTAATCTGTCATGTTATTGGGGATTTGTCTAATTTATCAATAAATGTTTTTTCTTATTAAGTTTCTAACTCCCTATTGACATCAAGAGTAAATTTGAGACTCAAATTTGAAGTATTAGTCTAGTGACCATAGTTGTGGTTTTATGATATAATAAAGCAAGGGGAAAATTACATAAAATATAATGTGTATCTTGGAGTGTGTCCAGTTTGCCAATGCATGAGTGTTCTTCTACTTTATAAATTTCTCTCTCAGCATAAATCATGCGACCCACATCTATTAGTCAAATAGGCAAACTGTTCCCATCTTTAAAACTCTCAT